CCTGCAGGGCTGTCTGGCCCGAGCGCCCCCATGTCACCTCCCACCTCAGCGATACCCTTAACTCTGCCCACGCTCAAAGCAGGGCTGGTGGGAGGTAGTGCTGGGGCCACTGTGCCCCGCCCTGCTCACCCACCTCCACCAAGAAGTCCCGCAGGGCCACAAACGTGGGTCGGTCCTCAGGCTTGTGCGCCCAGCACTGCAGCATGACGTTGTAGACGTCCTGGGGACAGTCCTCGGGCCGTGGCAGCCGCTCGCCCTCCCTGTCTATCTTTTTCCGGGTCTGCCATGAGAGGGTCCCCAGTTTCCCCCTCAACACTGCCAGGTCAAGGCGGGGTGCTGTGCACCCACCTGACTGCCATTGAGGCCAATCCAAGGCTCCTGCCCATACGTGAACATCTCCCAGAGAGTCACTCCAAACATCCAGGTGTCACTGGCATGGGAGAAGGTGCGTGTCTTCAGGCTCTCAGGAGCACACCTGCACAGAGAAGGATGTGAGCATCAGGAGGTCGTGGGTGTTGCACTCCCTTGTCCCTCTGCTTCCCAGTGCTCACCACGCAAAGGGGACCTTGCGGTGCTCCTGCATCACATAGTGGTCATCATTTTTGGGCAGGGCCCGCATCAGCCCAAAGTCCCCAATCTTGACCAGTTCATTTGAGGCAAGCAGGATGTTGCGGGCAGCCAGGTCACGGTGGATGAAGCGCTTGGACTCCAGGTAAGCCATGCCTTTGGCCACCTGGATGGCGTACTGGCAGAGGGTGGAGATGAGAAAATGACCCTGGTTCTTCCGCAAGCGGTCCAGGAGGGAGCCCAGTGGGGCCAGCTCTGTCACCTGTACCATGGGGAGGGGATAGCAGGTTGGTCAGGCACAGAGCACGCTGGCTGGGCTGGCTTCTAGCCTCCTTGTGCCCTGCTGTGGATGCCAGCAGAGGATCCAGCCTGGCTTTGCTCACCCCATCACACAGTACTCGTTCATGGGGTGGCATCAGGGTTGGCTTCATTTCCCCACACTCACCATCTTCATGGGGTGGGAGAGCACCACACCATAGAGGCGGATGAGGTTCCTGTGGTCCAGGGAGTGCATGGCGTTCACCTCCCGGATGAAGTCGTCAAGTGCCTCGGGCTGGCTCAGCACATCCGTCTTGAGACACTTGACCGCCACGTTCAGCTACAGCC